AAAGATCTATATTGGGAACAATGCTTTTTAACTTCTTCACAAATGACATATTTTAAGGTTAAGCAATGAGATGGGTGGTAAAAAATAAAAAGGGATTGTGAGGAGTTGAGAAAGGATATTTCCCCAAAATTGAATTGGCATTAAAATGACAAACGTAGCTCACTGTCACTCTGGAGCAAATTATCTATCTATGAACACACAGAGAGAGATGAGATCTGATATGACAGTGACTGACAATGTCATGATTCAATTAAAATGTCAGCCCTCTATGTGACAGTTTTGAAAAGGCTTTATTAAATATTATGGATTCAGAAATACCATAATGCCTTTGTACACTCTACCTTTGTACATTTGGGATGGTCTGCAGTTCTGGGAGCCAAATCATGAAAAGGATATTGTAGAGTTATTAAAAAACACACAGAAAAGAGCAACCTCAATCATAGGACTGAAGCAATTCCATTATAAGTAAAAGGTTGTAACTTTTGAAACCTTTTACTTTAGAAAGAAAATGTTGAGGAAGGCAAGGTTATTACAGAGGTTTCTAAAATTATTCATGGTTTGGATCAAATGAGGAGACATTTCTTTTCCACCCTGTCTCATAATTTTAGAAATGAGGCTCATCCAATGAAGCGGAATGGTTAGATATTCTGGGCAGACAATATACAACCACCGCTTACCCAAACATAAACTATGGAACTAACTGTCACAATATGTAGAGATGGCCACCAACAAAAATGTTCTCAAAAGGCTATTGAAACCTACTAGTCTATGATGACCAGGGATTTCTTTTCGGCTGGAATTCACAGGAACTCAGTTCTGTCACCTCTCAGCTGGATGTCATTGCCATTATAAGAGAACAATGGAGGTATTTATAGCGAGTCCCAGCACCTCTTTTTCTAGAAAAATAGCAGCAATGATTACTAGGTGTTACACCCAGGTTTAGAGCCAGCACGCAGCTGAATAATAATCTGCTGGGAAAGAGGCAGTGGGTAAGGGCTATTGCTCACATGTTTTCTGGGTTCCCATGGATATCTACTTAGACACTGTAGAAAAAAAGATACTGGATCAGATCAACCCAGCAGGGCTTTGCTGATGTTGAGATGATGTAGGTACAGGAGGCAATGCTGAAAGCTGCTCCTACAAAAGCAGTCAAGTATAGAAAGGTGATATCGAGACAAAATGCCAGTTAATGCATTATGAGTCTAGTTTTTTCTTCTTCTCTACTATAGTGTGATGGTGAAAAAATATCAGCATGTCTTGTCCTTGGCGTATGCTGTAAAAGAGATCAATGAGAACTGCATGATCTTACCGAACATCACTTTGGGGTTCCATATCTATGACAGTCACTTTGATGCCCAGATAACTTACCAGAACACTTTGAATCTTCTCTTTAATCAGAAGAGGATTGTTCTCAACTACAGCTGTGATATGCAGAAAAATCTAATTGCTGTCATTGGAGGCCTTGACTCTGAAACCTCCTTCCACATAGCTACTGTCTTAGGCCTCTACAAGATTCCACAGGTAGGATGACATAGGAAAGGTCCCAGATTTAATTCCCGGCATCTCCATGTAGGCCTAGGAGAGAACTCTGTCTAAAATCCTTGAGAAACATTGCCAGTCAGTATAGTTAATTCTGAGCTAGATGGCCTAAGAAAGACGGACCAAGCATAGGGTAGGAAAGAAGCACCAAAAAGAAAATGCATACACTGATGCACAATACTAAATTAATGCTGAATTGTGTTAGTATGTTAATAGAGGAATTATAAATAAGTAAATAAAACTCCTATATTCTTATATACTATATTGGAAGGCATCGGATTATTGTTCAAGGAAGGAAGGCTTTACAAATGAAGGTGGTAGAACTCTCTTTTAAAATCGTCTCTCCGACCCAGCGACATAGACTCTCCCTTCAGGATAGGCAGCCTTGTCATGTCTCAGGTATGATAGAATCTCCCATTGTTGGCCCTATCAGATATTGTTTTAGGACAGTGCAACTGGTTCACTTGCATTGAGTGCTGTTGCCACACAGGTTGCTGCAACAAGGATGTAGAACGGAGGGCAAGAGGTGGAGGGCACCAAATTTTAGCATCGGACAGTGTGCCGCTGATATTTCACAGCAATAACAACAGCAGCAGCAACAATAATTTTATTATTGAAACTCCATCCACCTGACCGAGTTGCCCCAGCCACTCTGGGTGGCATCCAACATAATAAAAACACAGCAACTGTCCAACATTAAAAACTTCCTGATACAGGGCTGCCATTGGCTCTGTCTGCAAGGAGTAAAATAGAAAATATTCCCCAGTTATCACATTTTGCATTTACTTTTCTGGACTAGGAAGGCATTAATTACTGATCACCCTCCCTGTCCATGCTTACATGCAAGTGTAACAACAAAGAATACCAAATTGATTGGTTGATTCTCATCTACCTTCACCTAAATCTTTAAGGATTAAAAGATGGGGCTGTTTGAAATTTGCTATTCATTTTATAAATGATCCTTGTATTTTGCAAATAAGTTTGGACTCTTCACTTTTTGAAAATATTCAATACATTATTGAATAAGCGGGAAAATCCTGCAAACTCCTAGCATCATCTAACATCAGAACTACCAACAACAACGAGAACAGAGGAAGGAAGGAAGGAAGGAAGGAAGGAAGGAAGGAAGGAAGGAAGGAAGATTTGAGGGGTAGATGTTCTGAGATGTTGTGAGAAGTTAAAAGTGGCGAGAGATCCCACATGCATAAGAACATAAGAAGAGCCTGCTAGGTCAGGCCAGTGATCTGTCAGTTCCAAAATCCTCTTTTCACAGCAGCCAAACAGATGCCTATGGGCAAACTAAAATACCAATGGGCAAACAAGGTGCCTAAGGTTTTAGCATGGACAATTTTGAGCAGCAAATATGAAAGAAACTATTACTATTATAATTAAGTGAACATTTCCCCCAATGGCAACAAACATTATTTTCCTTGCTTAGGTCACCTATTGTTTATATGCACCAGGTGTGAGTGATGTAACTCAGCGCTCTCCGTTATATCGCATGGTCCCAAATGAAGAGCATCAGTACACCGGAATTGTCAAGCTGCTGCTCCATTTCCAATGGAAGTGGGTTGGGATCCTGGCCATGGGTGATGATAAAGGAGAAAAATTCATCCAGACCATGGACCACATCTTTTCCCGGAATGGTATCTGTACAGCCTTCGCTAAAAGGATGCCAAAACAGAGCAACATTTTAGGTGTGATTAACTTTTACGACATTTATATGGATATAATAGCTTCACTAAATGAGACAAGCGTCAATGTCTGTGTTGCAAGTGCTGATCCTCACATGATGTTGATTTTGCAAGTAGTGCTCAATCTAATTGAAAAGGATATTATGTTTCCCATAAGCAAGGTGTGGGTTATGACAGCCCATTGGGACTTTTCATTGGAGCCATTTTTCCACAATCTGGATGTAAAAATTTTCCACGGTGCCTTGTCTTTTGCCATTCATTCTACTGAGGTGAAGGGGTTCAAAGATTTCCTTCAGATCCGGAATCCCTCCATCTCTGATGAAGATGGCTTTATCAGGGCCTTCTGGGAACAAGCATTCAGCTGTTCATTAACTGCAGATACTGATATGGGTAATGGATGCTGCACAGGAAAGGAGACGCTGGAGAGACTTCCTGGACCTTTTTTCGAAATGAGTATGACCAGCCAAAGTTATAGCATTTACAATGCTGTATACACTGTTGCACATGCATTGAATGCCTTATATGCATCTAGAAACAGATACAGAACCATTGCGGATAGAGACCTTCTGGAGATTTCAAAGACAAGTCTTTTAAAGGTGATGTACCATATGTTACTGCCTATTTATATTTTTAGGAACTGACTATGAAATTGACAATATTTGTTTGTTTGTTTATATGGGACCATCAATGTACATTTAGTTTTATGTTATGCAATTATTATTATTATTATTATTATTATTATTAATAATAATAATAATAATTTATTTATACCCCAGCCACTCTGGGTGGCTTCCAACAAAAGATAAAAAATACATTAAAACATCAGTCATTAAAAACTTCCCTAAACAGGGCTGCCTTCAGATGTCTTCTAAATGTCAGATAGATTTTAATTTCTTTGACATCTGATGGGAGGGTGTTCCACAGGGCGGCTGCCACTACCAAGAAGGTCCTTTGCCTGGTTCCCTGTAACTTTGCTTCTTGCACTGAGGGAAGTGCCAGAAGGCCCTCGGCGCTGAACCTCAGTGTCCAGGTTGGATGATGGGCGTGGAAATGATCCTTCAGGTATACTGGGCCGAAGACTAAAGCCAGAAGACTAAAGACTTTAGCCAGAAGACTAAAGGCCAATTTCTTAGATTGTTTGGAATGTACTTCCTGATAAGATGGTTTCTGCAGGAGCCCCTCCAAGAAGAGTGCAGTGATCAATTGAGTTTATAAGGCATGGGTAGGCAAACCCATGCCTTATATACTCGGGAGCTGGATCCGGCCCAGTTGCCTTCTAAATCCGGCCCGCGGACGGTCCAGGAATCAGTGTGTTTTTACATGAGTAGAATTTGTGCTTTTATTTAAAATGTATCTCTCGGTTATTTGTGGGGCATATGAATTCATTCATGGTTGTTGTTTTTTCAAAATATAGTTCTGCCCCCACAAGGTCTGAGGGACAGTGGACCGGCCCCCTGCTGAAAAAGCTTGCTGACCCCTGATATAAGGGGTAAGAAAAATTTTTCAGGTATCATAGTCCCAAGCAGTGTAGGGTTTTATACGCCAAAACCAGCACTTTGAATTTAGCCCAGTAGCTAATTGGCAGCCCATGCAATTCTTCAAAAAGTGGGGTAATATACAGTATAGGCATACTCTGTCCCAGTGTATGGGATATTTTGCACCAGCTACAGCTTCCAAACCAATCTCAAGGGCAGTGCCACACAGAGCACATTGCATATAAAGCACATTCACACTTCAAAAATCTGACTTAAACATCTTTTACTCTAGCTTCATGCTTTTCTTAGAAGCATCTCATTCAACAACAGTGCTGGTGACAAAGTGTCCTTTGATGAGAAGGGTGAATTGTTAGCTGGATTTGATATTATCAATTGGGTCACTTTCCCAAACAAATCTTTCCTAAAAGTGAAAGTAGGAAGAATGGAGCCTCAAGAACCACTGGACGGACAGATCTCCATCAATGAGACAATGATTACATGGCACAACCAATTGAACCAGGTAGGGTCAGACTGGATAGTCTAGGGTACAAAGTTGATCAGTTAATCCTACTCTTGAAAGCCATTTGTGAAAAGCTGCAATAGAACTAAAACATATGAATGAATAAGGGAGTAAATACTCAATATTGTTTGACCTTCCCCACCCCTTTTGTAAAATCAATTTTAGGTGGCACCTGTTTTTCCTAGAAAAAAGTTGCTGACACTCAAAAGCGGCTCCTACCCTGACCATCGTGAGTGCCACCATCTAGGCAACCAGAACGCATACGACCAGCAGCAGTGCACAGCGCACAATGGGGGAAGCGCATCACATGCTGTACCATACATTCTCAGGCTCCTTGGGGGGCAAGATTTGTGTGCTCAAGCCAGCCCGGTGTGTGTGTGTGTGTGTGTGAGAGTGAGTGTGGCAGCGACCAGACCCCAGCAGGCCTTTGCTCATGGCACAGCTCCCTACGCAGCTGAGCACTGATTGTAGGGGGAGGGTGCCAATACTGTGTACTGGTGAGTACCACCAGAAAAAAAGGATTGGTTTTAGGGGAGAAGATAAATTGGAATGAGGACAAAGGATCATTTTCTGTGTGAAAGTCCCAAATCAGATATTACTTAGGGAATGCAAACCTAATTCCGTATGAGATCAGTGTTTCTTTTTATTATTCTTAACATTTTTGTTCCATTTTTTTAAAACAACAACAACCACAAAGCTATTTCATTCTGTTTTGTAGCAGTTCACTAACACACACACATACACAGCACTGAAAAAAGAATGTGCCATTCTCTGTCAGTGCTTAAAACATTCCTCTTCTTTCCCGAGTTAGTATCAATAGCAGCCTGAATACAACCTCCCTGTGAAGCATATGATCTTTTGTTACAATTTAGCAACCTGTTCATGACAATATGAAATTGCACAAATGCTATATCTTCTTTCTGTAATGGTTTTACTCACCAAGGCTTCTCTTCCCCAGTGTGATCCTAGCCTACCAGGTATTAAAGGGTGCACATGCTGGCATTACAACTCTACAAAGTTCTGTAAGAGGACAATGGGTTAATTTAAAGGGTGATCATATGAGGAAACCTCAACGTATTTAGAGTGAGGGAAAAGATTCCCGAATGACTCAAAACATAGATCCTATCTTTTCAGCAATTCATTCAGCATGACCCCACCAAAAAAACAACAACACCCTGCTAAAAGGAAGTGGTATCTTCTAAGAGTGCTGACCCCTCACCCTTTCATGTTAGCTCTGGTTGAATAAACATACAAAACCCTATCAGAGGCACATGATGCTCTTTGTTAAATTCAGCAACCTCACTGTTATAAGAGATTTTATAAATGTTATCTCTTCTCTTTTATGAACAGGCTATCCCCCTTGCCTTGTGTAATGACTACTGCTATCCAGGTTTCAGCAGAAAAAAGAAGGAGGGCAAGCCATTTTGTTGCTATGAGTGTCTTCCATGTCCAGAGGGGAAGATTTCAAATGCGAAGGGTAAGGAGACATTATTTTCTAAAGGATGTTCAGAACCATTTTGTATCTCATAGGGTTATGCCACAAAATAATAATAAATACTTCCATTTTTTTAAAAAAACAACAAAAAAACTTTGCTGATCCATTATGAGCAATTGCATTTGAAAATGACCAAAGGAGAGAAACTTTGCTGAAATTCTCATCTGCAAGGTTTATTCACATTCCATTTGTGATGGCCGAAGAGTGTTCGTGAGTGTATTTTATTTCATTTTGCCAGTAATCTAACCAGTTGACTGCAGTCTGCAGGCTTCCCACATGCCTATGCTTCAATAAGGGGGGGGGGGGGAATGACATGGGGCTTTTTCAGATCAGGAAGCAAGAGAAGCTGGGAGGCCTATAGAGTGCTGGATAAAACTTTCATTGAGAGACAGAAAAACCACACACACACACACACACACACACACACCACCCTAGGCCACCCTACAACAATCACCATCAGGAATATTAGATAGAAAATTGCACAGCCCACCCAATCCACCCTGAGGCTCCCACTCTTTCCTATCAAGTGCCAGCTAAGAGACCACCTGCTCCACTTTGCATCCTCTGGTCAAATAGTTCGGGGGGGGGGGATGCTAAATAAGAGGGTTTTTCATTTTCCCCTAAACCTGGATAAGCATATGGCCAGGAAGCAGGGGCAAGAAGGAGATGTATCTTCTAACCCCTTCTAATTGAAATTAGGGGGGTTAATTTTTCATGGTGCTGCTTTACAAGGGTCTTTCCTGCATTTGAAACAAATGCACTTCTGGGCTAAGCATTTCCTCATACTAGCCACACATTACTAGCTAGTAATCTGCCAGCATGGTAGATAATCAACAATAACATCAGTCCATGCTATATCTCTATTATACTTCGGTAATACAGTATAATATGGAAGAGCAGGTTGATTAAAATACCATTACTTTTTCTTTTCTTTTTAAAGATATGGATGATTGTTTTGAATGCCAAGAACATAAATATCCTAATAAAGAGAGAAACGAGTGCCTTCTGAAATATCTGAACTTTTTATCTTATGATGAACCTTTGGGCATCACTTTGACTGTTTTGGCTCTGTCACTATCTTCAACGACAGTGTTGGTGTTTGGAATCTTTGTCAAGCACCGGAAGACTCCCATTGTCAAAGCCAACAACCAGAACCTCACCTACACTCTGCTCATCTCCCTCCTGCTCTGCTTCCTCTGCTCCTTGCTATTCATTGGCAAGCCTCAGACACTAACTTGTCAGTTACGACAAACTGCTTTCGGTGTCATCTTTTCAGTAGCTGTTTCTTCTGTTTTGGCAAAAACCCTCACTGTGGTTTTGGCTTTCATGGCTACCAAGCCAGGATCCAAAATAAGGAAATGGGTGGGGAAAAGATTCTCAAACTCTATTATTTTCAGCTGTTCAGTTATCCAAGTAGGTATTTGCATACTATGGCTATGTACAGACCCTCCCTTTCCAGATTTAGACATGCATTCTCTTCCTGAAGAAATTGTAGTGGAATGCAATGAAGGATCAGCCCACATGTTCTACTATATTCTTGGTTACATGGGATTCCTGGCTCTTGTCAGCTTTGTTGTGGCTTTCTTTGCTCGGAGACTGCCAGACACTTTTAATGAAGCCAAATTCATCACTTTCAGCATGCTGGTGTTTTGCAGTGTTTGGCTTTCTTTTGTTCCAACGTTTCTGAGCACCAAAGGAAAATACATGGTGGCTGTGGAGATCTTCTCTATCTTGGCCTCCAGCGCAGGGATACTGGGTTGTATTTTCTCCCCTAAATGCTATATAATTGTCCTCAGACCTGAACTGAACAGTAAAGAGCAGCTAAAAAAGAGAAATAACTAAAAATCAAACAACTGAAATCATGATACTCGGAAGTAAATCCAGTTGACTGAAATACGCTTTATTTCCATTTAATTTTGCTGAGCAAATAGCTGGAATATGTCCAATGAGAGTCTGAAGATAGGATATTGACCATAAATCAGAGGTGGCATATTTACGAATACATCTCTGGTCTCCCCCAAAATGCTATGCTTTTCTCTACATAAAGATTCCTTGGTTTAAATGTTAGGTTAATGTTGTCCATCAGTTATGTTTGCTTAAAAGGTTTCCAGTTCAAAGAAACATGTTCCCTCTACAATTGTTCCAGTGCCATCATTAAAACTAATTTACAGTTGATCCATGTGGACACTGTGCCATGTCATATATAGATTGTCACTATTATTATTTATTAAATTTATATACACCCCTTCATCAAGAGACCACAGGGTGGTTTACAGAATAAAACACAAATTAAACAATTTTATAGTAGTAAAGTGGGGGGAAGACAAAACTCATCCTGCTTTAAAAGGTCACAGAATCATTTACAGCCAAAGAGGAATGTTTTCATGTGGTGCCAAAATATATGCTGGGGAAATCATTCTGCAAACAGGGACCCACCACAGAAAAGGCCTGTTATGATGTTGGCACCCTCCAAACCTCCCTTCTTCATATGCCTCCTCTGTTACATATTTTTGGTGCCAAGTTTTGATTCTGGATTGTTTTATTGATGTTTAATGTGCGGTAAACCGCTTTGAGATTTTTCTTAAAAATATAAAGTGGTATAGAAATGAAAATAATAAACAAATAAAAACAGGCCTGTTCCAGGCCTTGGGCTCATTAAACAATCTATGGCCTCCTAAGTAAAGGTAAAGGTACCCCTGCCCGTACGGGCCAGTCTTGACAGACTCTAGGGTTGTGCGCTCATCTCACTCTAGAGGCTGGGAGCCAGCGCTGTCCGCAGACACTTCCGGGTCACGTGGCCAGTGTGATGAAGCTGCTCTGGCGAACTGGCACCAGAGCAGCACACGGAAATGCCGTTTACCTTCCCGCTATAAAGCGGTACCTATTTATCTACTTGCACCTAAGGGTGCTTTCGAACTGCTAGGTGGGCAGGAGCTGGGACCGAACGATGGGAGCTCACCCCGCCGCGGGGATTCGAACCGCCGACCATGAGATCGGCAAGTCCTAGGCGCTGAGGTTTTACCCACAGTGCCACCCGCGTCCCATAACAGAATGTCCTTCAAGCCTCCTAGACTGTCCAAATTTCAGTGGCACCCTTGGTGACAGCAAAATCCAGCACCCCCCACCTCTCACCTTCTGTTGGACTTCATGGTTGTGGTGTCTGCTACAGTGCCCCAGAAGCTTCACACCCAGTGTGACCAAACTGTGTGACCAAGCCAGTAGTTTGAGAAGAATATTAACAACAGATTATGCCACTGCATTAAGACTTACATTGGCTGCCAATGAGCTAATAAGGTAAGCTGAAGGTGCTGCTGCTGGCGTAGGTTTAAAAAGCACTTTGCAGCTTGGGACAGGGTAAAAGGTCATTTCACTTATCCTTATCCTTATTCTTAGCCTTCATAATATATCCCACCTTTTCCCCAGTTTGGGACTCAATCTGTGGCTTACACACATAAAGTAGAACAAGCTAAAGACATAGAAAAGAGAACCATTAAAATGCAATTAA